TGTTAACTTGACCTTTGATTCCATCGTTACAATGGGTTTTCGTTGGCTTGCATTGATCGCATGGACATGGACAGGGACTACTTTATAAACAAAAAAATTACTAACGGTCGGAGATTCAAAAAAAAGAAGGATAATGCCAATACGGTATCTGTTTAGAATCATCCTCTCAGGCAATGTTGATAATTTTAAGCATATTACCAATCAGATATATCGCCAAACATTTTTTAAATTGAATATATATGTTAGATAAAAGATGAGATAAACTAATCTTTATATAGAGACCTGATTAAGAGAAATGTGATTGCTGTTTCCTTCGATTTTTCTTGAGGGGAAATTCTTAGTGAATGATATTTATGAAATAACAGTATGTCGATCGTGAGTCATTTCTTGTTACAAGTTAATTTATCAGTTAATTTTGTTGTTCAGTGTATGGCAGTCTCTGCGTCCAACTTCTTTTAGCGTCATTGGGAGCTTTACGTATTGTTGTTACGTAGCACATCGCGGGTCTTTATATATAACCTTTTTTAGCATCATTCGGAGTTTTCGCGTATCGATGCGTATGTATTCTAGGCATAGTTGGTGATAGTATTCACATATGAGTGTCGCCAAGGGAAACCTGTCATCGGACTTTCAATGATACTTTGTGTACAGTTAGCCGTCTGTGAAAAATCTATCATAATGATAGATTTTCCATAGATGGCTAACTGTACACAAACTATCATTTAAAGTCCGTGACAGGTTTTCCCTTGGTGGCACTCATATAAGCTCTGTTCATTTTTAGATATATAAAGAGAAAACCTGACTTCTGATTTTCCATTATATTTTGTGCACAGTTAGCCGTCTATGGAAAATCTATCATAATGATAAATTTTTCATAGATGGCTAACTGTACACAAAATATAATTGAAAGTCCGAAGTCAGGTTTTACCTTGGCGACACTCATATCTACTAATATAGAAATAACCTAAAACAACATACTCTTTGAGAAACATTAAATTTAGCACATCCCTAACAGAAAATTGAATATGTCGGACCATAACTTTTTTTAGTGTTATTCGGAGTTTTCACGTACGTAAGTCATTCTACATACGTGTTCTAGAGAACTAAATTCTAAAATTGGTAAGAAATATATGAAGTAAAAATATACATCACTTTAGTTTAAAAGCGTACACTGGTCATTAAATTATAAATACTTGAGAAAGGATCAAAATAAAACCTCGCTTAGAATTGATTTATTTGAAATAATGTTATATAGTAGATCTACTAATGTATCTACGGAATCCCTCAGTTTCTCACATCGAAATATAGAATCTAATCTCTTTGGACTTATAGATGATACTGTCGAATTATCCGACAATAAACCTGCAGAACCCAAAATAGAGGGTATTCGTGTGGTAGTCTCTATAGGTAATTGGATTTGTTTTTCAATAATAAGTGCGTTAATATTAGACTTTATAAATAGCTATACTAATTATATTTTAACTAATTCAAATTTACCAGATTTTGGAACTACCTTTTCTGTAAGTAAATTCTCAAAATACGTACTTTTTGTGTATAAGTATAAAGCAATGCAATTATTTTATTTATTTAGGGCTACGCATACGCTAATATATATGACAATGAAGGTCGAGATGATACTGAATTCCAATACTATGCCAATAATTCATGGATTAAAACAAATACTGTACTTCTGTATGATAAAGAATTCGATAATGTTTTGGAATGGGGAGAGAAAGCCTTAACAGAAGTAAATGATAACACATCAAGATCAGTAGAGCTATTTAAACTTGGTTTGAGTAAAATAGAACTTGGTTTAAGTAAATTAGAAATTGGTTCAAGCGAATTAATTAAGAATATAAAGCTAAATCTTCCTACACAACTTCATCGGATTGAGGAACAGAGATATGTAAGAGCGATTACCGACTATTTAACGAAAATGGGTATGTTTTATGTATTTGATTTGCATCCTCTGTGAACACGGGTCCAAAATTCATGGAAAGACTTTTATATGATTGGCTGTTTAAATCAATTTGATGTTATATTATTTAAACAGTTTAAAGTACTTTTTTAAAAAAAAATCAAATAAATAAAAAAAGGTATTTAAAAGTTTTTATTAGGATCGTAGGGCTCCACTATTAAAAATATTCAAAATCCCTTTTTGGTTTAGAGAAGTTAGCATAATAACGACTTCTGAAAAATAGATAGAATTAGATTATTATCATGATAACTTTTTTAAAATAAAAGGAGATTTTGATTATTTTCAATTACAGGTCATGCAACCCTAATAAATCTTTCTATATACTTTTTTTTTATTTATTCTCTGTAGTTTTATTTTTTTTAAAAAGTACTTTAAACTGTATAAAAAATGTAAAATTAAATTGATTTAAACAGCCAATCATATAAAAGTTTTTCTATGAGTCCAAAATTCAATGTGCATCATAAAAGTAAAAAAATGTTATCTAGTAATCACATGAATAAGTTCGTCTGATTGGCCAATAAATTTTATTTAATTTTACATTATTTTCTATGGGCTAATGACATTCATTTTGTGATATCTAAATGTAATTAAATTAAAAAATATTGAATATAGAAAAATTCGTAATAGCTTATATTATTCTTGAATTTCAAACTCAATATTGATAAAATGATATTAATATTATCACATCACTTCACTTAATGTATTAGATATCAAAAAATGAGCGCCATTAGTCATACGTATACAATTTAAAGTGCTTTTTTTAAAAAAAATAATAATAATAACAATAGTAGAATACAACCAAAAAGAATAACTAAAAAAGATCCTCAACCCTTATTCATCTAAAAAAAGGTAGTATATCTTTCATAGATAGATAAAATCAAGTTAC